GCTGTCTAGAAGCTGAGTCATTGAAGTGAATTCAACTAAATATTTCTTCCTTTTCTTCTGTTACTAGTTCTTTTGTATAAAGAACTAGTTGTGTTGAAGTGAAATTACCTGAATAATAGCTGCTTCTGTCTGTCTGTTATTGGTTCTTCTATGTAAGCTGTCTATAGAACTGGTGGTGGTTATGTAATGAGGGAGACCTGGTGGAGATGCTCTTCGTGATATCTGGTTTGAAATTGGGGAGGACGGACTTCTTCCTTCCTCAGTCTCACTCATGTAGCTTCCTGGTGATTTTATTCGTCCAGTTCCACACAAAACACACTATAAATGTCAACATTTTAAATTTTGAAAAACTATATTGAAATTTATGTATACTTATAAATAGAAATTTTATGATCAGTATATTATAACAAATCTTGCTACAAAGAATTTCAAGTGCTTGAAACTTGCAATCTTATATATATATATATATATTGCAAACCATGGTGTCTGTCCGAGCATTTGAAAAGCTGCATACACAGGCAAAACTCAATATTCACTTTTGAAATGACAGGAGAACAGGCATCAATAGTGTTGGGGCCAGATTTTATTTTGCAAGCAGGATATTAAATTGTTTGGAATCAATCAAACTATCATTCATATTTCAAAATATGACATAAAGAATAAAAATGTAGGTTAACCATATGTTATTGTTGAGTGGCTCTTAGCATGACTAAAATGCTCAACAATTACTTTTCATGGTGGGTGGTATAAGTAGCTCAAAGCTTTGGCTCCTGAGTGAAACTACGAGTGCAACATAATTAACCTTTTTAAAGTCCATGAAATAATTTAAATCGATAGATTAATTTAATACTTTTCCTGTCACTGGGGATGGGTACTTTTGCTTATATTTAATAAAAGAAAACTTGTAATAGGTATTTTAGAAACAACATAATGATATTCAGATTAAACTACTTTAACTAACTTGTACTGATAGCAGTTCAGTGACACATTAAATATATTTCTGTACAAATTTTATGTTCAATCATAACAGTTTGGTTTTTATCTGATATTTCATAAGTTTAAGTTTTATGTGATCATAAAGTTTAACTGCTTTATATATATGAGGTCCAGACTGCAAAAGATGTAGAGATTAGACAATCATAATTTATTACTTGTATGACTTATTGGAATGGAACTTTCCTTTTAAAATTTATGTGAAAGTAAAAACGTTTTGTTATTGCATAAGCTTTAAAATGTGTAAACTGTAACAAATGTGTAAACCAGATAAACACAACTGAAAGGCAAACTGCAGTCCACCAGTTACACCATCAAACATTTTCTTCAGAAAATTACCAAAAACTAAAACAGACTAATGCAGTCTAGTTCATTTCTAGTTTCGAATTATTAAATGAAAACAAGGCTAATGAAAAACTAATTAAATTTCATAACTACAGTGGTATGTGTCAACAGATTTTGTCTGGTATGTCAAAGTTCACAGATGCAAATGAGAGGATAAACATAGGGTTCTAGAGAAAAAAACAAAACAAATTAAGTCTTCAAGCTAAAATTTAAATAATTTCAAACACAATGCATTTTACACAAAGTATAAAAACATCATTAGCTTTAATTATTATGGTCAATATTTTAGCCATCTTACTGTTGAACCACTACCTTTTGAGATTTTGGCCAATTTTCGTATGTACATGCTGAACAATTCCACTTTTGTTTTTCTGAGCATGATTTGTTTCTAATATTTTCATATCTGTCTGTCTGCACAACTAAAGGCAATGGAGGTGGGATAGTCCTCTCTGGTGTATGTATATCACCCTTATTATCAGTGGGGCCAGGTGATCCTAAGTGGACCTGATTGGATGTCAACGAACTACAATACCAGGGAGACAAACATTGGGTACATTTCTCTGAACGTGGCCAGTTCAAGAAAGTACATATCTGACAGCTCCATTTTCTGAATGTCCCCACATCTGATGGAGAACCTGTAGAGGTAACACTGTTGTCACTGGTGCAGACTTTGTTCTGAGAAGTTGTTTCTTGTATCAATGGAGTTATCTAATAAGAAAGATTAAAATGTTTTAAACAGGGTTAAGAAAGAGATAAAAACATGATTAAATGACCTTGTTTTGCTAAAAAAATAAATTACCATCTTACATAAACACAATGCTTCACAACTTGCAGCTATTTATTTTAAAGCTCTTGGTCCCAATTACAAGTGAAAAAACAACTTTCATCTTCTGAGACATACTCTTTGTCTTAATATTGTTTTATCTATCTAGCAGCTGAAACAGAACTTGTTTCGTACTTGCTGACTTTTTTAATTATCTTACAGTTTTATTCATTGCCATTAGTACATGCATAAACTGATGTATATAAAATGGATATAACATAAAAACATGACATTGTATTATAATGAATTTAAACTCAACTTAGCAAAAAAAACCAACTAAACTCCAGATTTGTTTTCATTCTCTTTTTGTTGCAGAAAGGGATGAATAAAAGGAAATTATTTTCTTAATTAAATGTAATATAAAATTACTTAAAGCCTTATAAATCACATTTGTATTGTAGTTCATTGTCACACACATACACAGTTTTCAATAACATTTCAAAGCTAGTTAGATGATTTCTACACCATCAGGGGGGAGGGGGCATTTATACACTTGTTATTGTTTTGCATGTGTTATAACTTATTTTTCTCCTTTTTTCAAAAAATATTAGAAGTTTGATACCAAATATATACTCATTTTAGAGTGGCTTTAAGGGTATAAAGTTGTTTTTAATTATCTAATTATTTAATTATCAGAATAAGCTACTTTTTTTCAAGCTAGGAAATTTAAAAGCAGATTTGTGTTCAGTTTTAAATACAAATTTTAATGCAACAATCTGAACTTTGATGTTTGTATCTAGAATTCAAACTTAACTAGAGCAAAATGTTAGTTGAGATTCTGAATTGCTACTTTTTTTTTTCTGATTAAGTTTCAGACCACTAGTAAATGTTTGCTAAAAGGGTTAATGGATCAGTGCTTTTTTTTATAAAATACCATCATGAGCTTAGTTTTTAGATCTAGAAACAAAAAAACAACAACAAAAAGTTCAATTTCCCATGATTCAGTTTCTAATTACAATATTTAAACACTTTTACTTTCTACTGTAGTTTTATGATGCACAATTGTAGTTGCAAAATTTAAGCACTTCTACTTTCTTCCAAAACTTTTTAATTAATATAAGATCAGATTAAAGTAATAAAACCAATTTTTAAAAACTTTCAGCTAGTTGTTTGTAACTACTATTTTTGTATTACATTACAAATATATAGTTTAAGGAAATAAAGGGACCTATTGGCTCATCTAGGCTTTCCCATTCATTAAACTAAACTTTAAAATAAAAATAAAACCCTGAAAGCCAGCCCTTAACATTCAAATATTTATCAAGCTTTCCCTAAAATTAACTGCATCCATCATATATGAAGACAACCCATTCCAAAAGTCAACAACCCTTTCAGAATAATAAAGCTGTCTTAGCTGTAAATTTACTCCTATCCTGCCAAAATTTACGTGTCCCTTAGTTCTACCAATTAGATCCCTCGTAACTTTTCTTTCTTCAAGAGAAACCAATTTTGGAGATCTTTATCTGTCCTCATACAACAACTTTTCCATTCCAGTTATCATCCTAGTAGCTCTCCTCTGAACCCTTTCTCACAATTCAATATCCTTCCTAAGGTTAGCACAAGGTTGATGGCATGCAAGTCTCTTAGGCAGATGAGCGAGGGATCAAGCTATTCTGTGTGAAGAGGTGAGGTATCGTTTCGGATAACCATGTTTGTTCACTACTTACTTATCCTACATTAATGTTCAAAATGAAATGACTTCATGCTGTGCTCTGGTGGCAACAATCAGTAAATAATAGAATGATATGAAATTGCTCCTAAAGTTAAATTATATTCTCAAATTAACATAATATAAACTTTTTCATATGTGAATAATGGAAATTAATATAGAAAACTCGTACTTTCAAATTATTTTTGAGCTAAAGTAAAAATATATTTCTGTGATTGTTCTTTTATGTTAATAATGCAAACACAAAAGGTATAATTTCTTTCCTGCCACTAGCAAAATTTGGTAATGGTCTTGTTTCAAATGGTAAATCTGGAAATTAAGTAACAATTTCAAATATTTCATAATACTTCAATATAAATAAAAAATAACAAGTGTTTATAATTCACTTTAAATAAAAACACATATATATATATATATATATATAAGTAAAAGTGTGTATATATACAGACATACACATGCATGCACACATAAGTCTACATAAAAGTCTACTAGTTTAACCCTAGAATTATTGATGGGATCCATGTGGATCCCAAATGGATTTTTAAACACATTTTCCCAATTTATTTGTGCATCAAATTACTCGTTGGTTCATGACTTTGTTGGTTACAAGTCACACAAAATGATTTTAAAACATCATTAATATTGTAGTTAATCTCACTACTGCAGAAGTCCCTTATACATTTTACACAGAAAATGATTGAATTTCATCACTTTTTGTTCTTATTCAGTTCGTTTACTTCTTCATACTGAGTACTGTACTTAACAGGCAAAAATCTAATATTACTTAATATTATGCAATGTGTGGACTCCAACAATAGTTAATGTTATAAAAATCAATCAGTAATTTGATGGTTAATCCTTGCTATTTCAGTATTCTCTACTAAATAAAGTAATATGGCAATGAGCATTTAAATTTTTAATAGACACCTCATACAAAAATCTGCTCTAAGTTACTCTAATCATAGAATAAGAAACTCAGTAAATGACCTAAGTGCTGTAAATTATTAATATGAACATTTATTCACCTTATAGATGTTATTCTCTTTGGAAGCTTCTTCTGTGATGATATGTGGAGGTCTTACAGCTAGACATAATGTACATTTTTTAGCTTTGGGCCAGTTTTCATAGGTGCAATATCCACATGCCCATTTCTTGTTGTCTTGGCTCATGCTACTCTGTAAGCCGCACAAAGGGCAAGAACATATATTTTCTGCCTTTTGGGTTTCTAAATGAGTAATAAAAAAATAAAAAATAAAATTCAAGATGTGCATGTATTTTTTCCCTTTACACAAATACATTATTTTTAACTTGCTAGACATTATTCATGTCAAATATTGAATTACTGTAATGATATAAGTACGTTGTAGTTTAAAATCTTACCAGTTTGTAAAAAATATTGACCTGAGTCATAAGAAATTAGATTGAATCAAAAGATTTTTGAAAACATGTTAATTTTTCTTATTCCAATAATATTATATCGTTATTCTGAAAAAAACACACCCGTGTTTCAAAAATAATTTCTGTTGTGTCACATTATTAATTCAATAGGAATAAAGAAATGTAAATGTGCAATAACAGCAAATGTTAATGAAGCTCACAAATCAATTGAATATTTAATGAATTTGTGTAGCACTGGCCAGCAAAAAGCAGAAAAATTTGCATTCTATCAAATCACTACCTATACATGTACACCTTTATTTAAACTCTGACAAGTCAAAATATTATTGTAAAATAATGTCAATCCCTCCCCCTTAGTTACTTTTTAAATATATAAAGCCTTTTATGATCAGAATATGATTTGAAGTGTAAATGAGTGACTTTTCAGCTTATGCACATAAAAGACAACTTGAAAGAGATCACACTTCCCCTTTACAGTTCATAACATTTCACTTCAGCATGGGGTATAATTACCATGAACGGCAAAGGCAACCTAACAGTAATGTTGCATACTTAAAACTAGTGTGTTGATACAAAGTCCAAAGGTATCCTAAACCATTTCCTTTTCATGATAGAACTACTTCCAGAGCATTTTTATTATCTAGAATCACTTGATATACAATGTGATGCTTCTCCCAAGAGCATTTCATACGTGTTAAATGGGATTTAAGTTCAGTGAGTGTGAAGCCTATTCCATTCAGTTGATCCTTTCTTCTTCAAAGAAAGTGTTGTTCTGGTTAACTTGGTGGAATGAATGCTATCATCCACTAAACTCAAGTTAAAGCCAAATGCACCAGCACGGATAGCCATAGGATATGTATCCCACAATATTTGGCATTAATGGTACTATTTTGCAAGGTGATGAGATTAGTACATTTACTAATGCTTATTCCTGCCCACATCATACTTCCATTACTGTTACATTCCTGTCAGAAAATTTAAGTAAATCTAGTTCCAGCTTTTCTCCTGTTATTTGGCTGCAGGGTGAAGTACAACTCATCTGTAAAAAGAATGTTGCTTCACATGTCATTGTTTCAAGGGATATGTTCTTGGCACCACTTTGATGAGCTGTTTTGTGCTTAACTGCCAGAAAAATGCAACTCAGTAGTGTCTGATATGCAGATTGGTCTAAAGAAGTATGTTTTTAAAAGTCTGTAAAGTGAAAAGGCATCCAGGTACAGCTGTGAACATCTGAGCCAGTCTTGTAGCAGGTAACCTACAACTGTGGCAAGTTGATTTAGATATACATATAAGTTAAGAACAACAATAAACCTATTGGTCTGTCTACATCATCCCATCCACTGAACTAAACTTGAAAATAAATCACTAAAAGCCAGTTTTTATCTTTCAAATGTTTATCAAGCCTTCCCCTAATCTCCCTGAAATTAATTGCATCCACCACATCTATTGGTCACTCATTCAATAGGCCAATAACCCTGTTTGAAAAGCTGTTTTAGCTAAAAATGACTCCTCCCCTGCCAAAATTTATATTTTTGTCCCCTAGTCATACCATGCACATCATTAAGTATTACAAAAAGTGTTGCATCAACACTATCAATTCCTTTAACAATCTTAAACACCTCAATTAAATCCCCTCTAACTCTTTTTTTTAAATGAAAAAAATTTCAGAGATCTTAACCTGTTCTCATATGATGACTTTTCCATCCCAGGTATCATTATAGCAGCCCTTCTCTGAACTCTTTCCAACAATTCAGTGTCATTTCTAAGGTAAGGTACCTAATATTGAATACAATACTCCAAACTGGCCAAACCAATAACCTATACAATGAAATAATAACCTCTTTAGACTTGTATTCAGTATTTCTGTAGATACAGACAGTATTCATCTGTTTGTGTTGTGGATAGAGATGGGGATCATAAAAACATTCTAAAAAATTACCAGAAGGTATTAAATATATATATATTGCATTTTGTAATTAATTGTTTTTATAGATATTTTTATGTATTTTATCCAACATTTCAGTCTTTATTTCTACTTACTGTGTTTGAAACATGTTAAATTATTGGTCTACAGGCAAGGGTATACAAGCACCACTGTACCAATGAATATTTTGAAAAAGTTTTAGCATTATGATTCTGTAACAAAACAAAAGAATCTGGATGATTTTAATGAAAATTGCAATATAATATTACGTATTTCCTGACTGCAGCATAAAAATCTAACTTTGAATGCAATAATTTAAAACTTTATTTCTGGTGTTTTCCAAAATGGAGACTAACAATATTGATTAATCCTTCTATACCTATGGAAGGACCGAGTGGAAACAATTTTGGACTACAACTATTCATTTACTTAGATGGCCTGTTTAATAATAAATGCCAACATAATTTTTCTGCCATAGGATTAAAAATGAAGAAATTTAAAATTTTATTTTCTATAATCACATTCTGATATGATACTTAAATTTAAGTATCTACTTTCATCTTATATAAACATATAGTGATATCTTGCAGTTTTACCCATTCCTATTCGTAAGTGTATAAACTGACATTTCCAGTGATGCATATAAAATGGATATTACCTAACATTATGACGAATTTTGGGCAAACTGAGTATTAAATAAAGAAAAAGCTATAAATTAATTAATTAAGAACAACTGAAATACAGATTTGTTTTCCTTGTCTTTTTGATGAAGAAGAGGATGAACTATAGGAACATATAAAAAGACCAGCAGACTATTTCTAATTAATTATCCAACAAAGTTTTAACAAAACAATTACATGACTCCAATGACTATAACCATTCCCAAGATAGTTGGTTGCCAGACTAGTTTTGTTGCCAAAGACAATGTGAACTTTACCCCAGGAACAAAATAAAACCAAGCACACATTGCAAGAGTTGTGAATTCAAGCTGCTTATCACTTAGCTTCACTGAAGATAAACTTCAGGTGAGAAATCTTTTATAAACATCTATTTTTCCTTCACAAATCTGTCTCTAAAGTTCCTTCTCAGATAAAGAAAACAAAAAGGTGCAAAATCATGAGAAAGTAGGTAAAGCAGATTTGCTGACACTAATGTCAGAGGGATGGTACAATGCAAATTGAAAATCATCAATTCATTCTGTTCTTGTAACTACTGAAACAAGTTTCTTATGATCAATGAATCAGAACTGAATCTCACTCTGATGATTATACAGCATATTTCAATTTGCCCTTTTCCATGGTTACTGATGAGGAGTGAAATTCCCTGAAACAAGTATAACTCAGCGACAAGTGGTGAAATGAATGACAGATTAGACTTCATACTTATTTTAAATGTCATTGTCCATGCACCAAAAGGAGGATGAAAAAGGTCTGTAAGGAGAGATGATATAAGGAACAGGATGACATAAGCTTGAAGGGAGGAACTTTATGGGCACAGAAGATGATAATTTGTTTCCAAGCAGGGATGGTGGTAGGACATGGGGGACAGCAAAAAAGGAAGGAAAGAAAACAATAGGGTAAGAACTAGAGAGGTGAAGACATGGCAAAATCTTACAAAATGGAAAGTGGCTGACAAGGCTGCATGATAACCAGTAATGGTGGATACCAAAAGCCCCATGTCAAGAAACCTGGTAAAAAGGAATTCAATTGCAGAAGAGAAGGATGGGGTGGAGAAAACCATAATGAGAAGACCAACAGCAGTAGACATACCACTTACGTTGGTAAACTCACATGGAGAAAGGCTGAACAGAATAGGAAATCAGGGAAGAAACCCGCAAGAAAAATCCGGCCCATCTGGGAAGGGACCAGACAAAACCACGCATGAAGAAGGGGCATTGGAAGGAAAAAAAATGTAGCACACCCAATTGAGGTTGTCTGAAAAGAGTGGGTGAAAGGAGTAGAGGAAGTGTCAGAAGAAGTGAGGGCAGAAGTAAAACCATGGCAGCTCCGGCCAAAGTAGTGCCACCAAGAGGAATGACTGAGAGAACACAAGGAAGAATACAGATGGGTGGATAGGCATAAAAGTAACATCTCCCAAATCCTGACTGAGGGTATCAACTGCTAAAAACAAAGGAAGTGCAATTGGGAATCAAAACCTGGAGTTCAGGTGGATGGCAAATGCATCAAGTTCCAGAGTACCCTACTACGCACCACTCTGTGGGGAGAACCTTGACAGGGTGCAGTAAACAACCCAAGATTAGATTCAGGACTCCCAGTATATGACATGCCAACAATCGAATGTGATGGTTGTGGGCCCAAAACAGGAGGTCCAAGATGTTGAAACAAAGAGACCTTGACAGAATGCCCCCATTGCTGAGTGATGTACATGACAACTGTTGAGTTGTCAGAATGGATCATAACAGACTGGTTCTATCAAGAGAGGGAAGTAAATGAACCAAAGCCTGATAGACAGCAAGCAGTTCCAAGATACTGATATGCAGAGATGACTCCACGATAGACCAACAGCTTGAATCTTCTGTGTGTCCAGATATGCACCTCAACAATAAAGAGAAGCATCCAGATGAGGAGGAAGAAGAGAAACACCCACTGTGGTGTTGTCTCAGTTCAGTTACCAGGCAAAGTCCACATGAAGGGAAGGAGGAACATGGATAGGAGTGTCCAAGGGATTCTTAACAAGGTTACATGAGGAATCTCATAAAGCTCACTAAAGAGGTTACATGTGGGCTCGACCAAGGGGAATAAACACTGCCAAAGAAGCCCACATTTGCAAAAGAGATAGAACCTATCATGTAATTGTAGAAGGAGAGAAGGAAATAGTCAGAACCAGAATCTCCACAGATTGCAGGGAAAAGGGAGAAGGGAGGGCCCAGCTGAGACGGGAATTGAAAAATACCCAGAGATGAACAAGGTATTGAGTAGGGGAAAGGAAGGACTTCTCCATCTTGACCAGCCAACCTACCCATGTAGCCTCTTGAAGAAGAAACTGAGTGTGAAGGGAAGAGGTGGCATATGAAGGAACTAGAAGCAGCCAGTTATCCATGTAATTGTGTTAATGAAGGCTTATGGAATGAAAAAGACAGGCAAAGGTTTTGACCACCCAACAAAAACAAAGGGAACTGAAGACAGCCTGAACATAAGAGCCCAGAATTGGTAGATGTAACCCCAATAGGTAAAACAAAGAAAATGCCGGAATGCTGGGGAGATGAGAATGTGGAGGTAAGCATCCGAGATATCAACTTTGTCTAACAAAGAACAGGAGTGAAAGCCTATCAAAGAGGTATGTAGGACTCCATGGAGAATTGAGAAAGGTCTAGGAAGAGGTTCAAGGAAGAGAAATTGATGACAGGGTGCCAGCCCCAAGTCCTGGTGTGAGCTACAAGCAAACACAAATAGAAACCAGGCTGCGAAGGATCCCCCTGTTCTATAGTGCCCTTGTGAAGATCTAGAACTGCATCAGGGTGAGGGAGGAAGAGAAAAAATCATGAACAGAGGAGTGGTGCAAGGGAATGAAACTATGGTAAATGGAGTCAATGGAAAGAAGCCTTGAAAGCACTGAAGCAACCCAGAGCATGTATGTAACAGAGAATACCATCAGGATCTGACCAAGAATAAAGGTGGAAGATGGCAAGAAACAAAAATGACAAAAAAAATTACATGAACCAGCAAAGTGTAGGTTAGTAAAAAGAACATAATGAGCCAAAAGAACCAAGAAAATCAGATCTGTGCTGTCCAGGAAGGCTCAATTAGAAAGACCTGATCCAGAGTGACATGGATAGTCAAAACCACCTTGGGAAGAAGACTGACAGAATGAGTAAAACTAAAGTTATAAGTTGGATCTAATTCTGTTTGAATGTATCGACAGCCAGGGCAAGTGGAAGATGAACAGGAGACATAAAACAAAAGAGGAACATGACATGCTAGAAGACATATGTAAAGTATATGAGTTCAAAAAGTGAGATCCACTGTTTACCTCATAGGGAACAAGAACGAGTGCCCCCTTGGCGAGTGATATAAGCCACCACCATCAAATAGTCGAAATGAAACATGATTAGTTAAATACAGACAAGAGAAAGAAATTGAACAAAAGCATATTGGACTGCCAGAAATGCCAGGGTGTTAACATGGTAAGACCTTTTGTCTGAAGAGCATTGTCCTGAAGACTCCTGCTGATCAACCCATGTCCCTCCACTTTAGAGATGAGCATCAGGGAAAAGAAACAAATCCAGATGAGAGGGAGGAATCAATAAACATGACAACATGGGGGATATTTCAACCATCAATGCATATAGTCGAAGAGGGAAGGTGGAAATTTAAAGAGGAGAATCCAAAGGAACCCTAGAAAGAGACTGAAGCCAGATGTCCAAGTAGTGGTGTTAGTAAAATCTCCCAAAATATGGAAGTGTGGTAAAAGGCAAGGCACAAAACCAGTACCAAATCATGTGGGAAAAAGAACCTAAAATAGCATCCCGAGAAATAAAAAATGAGAACATTTATCATTGGCATTCTTAGTTCTGCAGAAATTGCCCACCCAATTCTGATCAAAGTTTACATAATAAAACAAGGAAGAACCAAGAAGTGAGTGAGGCAGGACAGATCGATCGAGAACTCCAATCAGCATTGAGCATACACAATGAATGGAGAAACCAATAGGTAGGATAGGAAGGTGTCAGATATGGAACATGAATTAAGATAGCAATGACTCAGGATGGAAAGAGCAACAAAGAAAATTAATATAGCATCTAAGATACCCTATGTGATTCTAAGTGCACAGTAGTATCCACAAAAATTGGACTGATGAAGAAAAGGAGCCGACTGTAAGTCCTTATTAGAAGTGGATGGTAAACAAACAGTACAAGACAGTATCCTACCCCAGA